CCTTCTTAACTCTCCCAAGATTTTTTTTTTCAACTTGTTGAATTGTATGTGATTTCTTAACTTCTTATGATTTGGCAAACTTGTTTTAAATTTGAATCCCCCTTGCAACCTGCTTGCAGTTCTTTCCATCTTGGTGTCAGAGTCTGCAAATTTAAGAAGCAAAATCTCTAGTCCACCACCAGACCGTTAATGAGAACACCAAAAAGTACAAAACAAAGTCAGTCTCCTGTGCAACACCACTCAGTTTATCCTTGGAGTCTTCCCAGTGAAACTCTGGTAATTATTTTCCAAGTGTTGTTTCCTGACAAGTTCAAAGTGCTGTTAGAGCAGGAAGGCCCTGCTGAGAACATGCCAGTCTGTTAAGTGGTGATCGAGGGAAACTAAAGTATTTGCTTCGTGTGAAACCTGTAAGTTGTCAGTTTTTCAGAGGGAAGTTTCAGAACTGTTTAGGCATTGAGATTCCTCAATGTGGCAATATTTTCAAAACTGGAAGTAGGCAGACTAGCTTGTGCTGTTTGCTGTGCTATATTCATCTCATTAGGCACCAGTTTTTATTTTAAGTTCCTAAGTATTTTTAAGAACGGCCTTTTGAGAGCCTTTGTTGTTGTACTTAATAATGATAGACCTTTATACCAGTAACAAAATAAATTATAACAAAATAAATTACAATAAAATACCTTTGGGCTTCTCTGTTTCCTACTGGAAGTGGCAGAATTACTGGTGTTTTCAAGAAAACCAAGCTACTGTTTGATGAATACCTTCTTCTTTGAATAAATGTTGACATATATTATTCAGCCAGATATAGATCTGAACAAATAATGCAAAACATTATTACAGATGGATAATTTATTTGATGAATAGCAGTTCTCTTTGACAAATATTAGTCTGCCTCTATGACTGGCTACAAAAGATGGCATTGCCACATAAAAATATCCCATCAGTCATCTGTATTGATATTTCATGTAAATTAAAGTGAAGGCTTTTCAGATACCCCAGTCATAGAAGACAGACACTCCCCTGTAAATATATGGGAACATTCAAAACACTTTGGGCCAAGTTCAAACCTGCTAGAAGTGACAACATTAGGAGATAAAAGTTGATAACATTAGGAGATAAAAGTTGATCAAACTGGAACTTTTGAGGCAATCCAGATTGTTTTCACTGTCTTTAAAAATTACTTAAACAACATGTTCCATGTGCAGGCAGAGCTCAGCATAATATTGTTAGGAAGTAACATATCTATAAATTAAGCCAGTCCCTCTGATTTGGGGGGGGGGGGGGGGGAAGGTTAACATTAGGAGATAAAAGTTGATCAAACTGGAACTTTTGAGGCAATCCAGATTGTTTTCACTGTCTTTAAAAATTACTTAAACAACATGTTCCATGTGCAGGCAGAGCTCAGCATAATATTGTTAGGAAGTAACATATCTAATAAATAAGCCCGGCCCCTGTGTTTGGGGGGGGGGGAGGGGGAAGGTGGTTTCTTTAAAAGCACAGCTTGGAAAAGGAAGATGCTACTTGAAATTTCATCACGGGTCAATCACTTTACTATGTCCTGGCACTTATTTTGAAGCTTATATACTGTATGTGTTTTGCAGAGTGTTGTGTACTGTAACTGAAAGGCACTGAGTCAACAGAAAATCCCCAGAAGGCTTTACCTCAAAGTTGCTTTATCCTTCTGTTCTAGATATAAACCAAACCAAAATCTTCTATTAAAATATCTGTTTAAAAAATTGGACTCCAAAATGAATGAAAATATGACTGTCAGGCATGTATGTTAAAACAGCATGTGTTTTTTTGTGTGGACAACACTAGCATTCACTTAGATATATGGGCAGACATTCATGAGTTCTGCAAAGTATTCTGTAGCCACTACTTGTCTTTTCCTTTTTGGATGGATTCCCCCTGTCCCTTGGAGGGACTTCTGGAAAGGAACTTCTGCTGTGGAGGGCAGAGGATGAGGAAGATGCCCTCTCTGTCCAGCCTTCCCTTCTGGGTCCTGTGGCAGCCACAGGCTGGTTTGTCTCTTATTCCTTGCAGCAGCAGATGAGAATGTTTAACACTGTTAATGTTTAATAAGGACAAGTGTAAGGAATGCTTAACAGTGAAAAGCTTGACTGGATTTGAATGAAAATTTCTCAGTTGTACAGGGAGCAGGATTTCTGCACATCTTGGCTTTGTTGTCACAGGACAGGGTAGAGCTTGGTGCATATTAGCTATGATCTTCACCTGAGAGAATGTCTCACTGAGTCATACCAGTATTTGTAGTAATTGGGGTCATATGTATAGCTGACTGACAGCCAGATTTCTGTATGACTCCGTGGGTGTACATGCACACATCCCAGGGCTTGCCTTGCAGTAGACTGCTGTCATATCATTACCACTCAGGTGGCATAGTCCACAGAATAAGCTGAGCAAAAGCCACATAGCTCAAAATTCTCTAAGTATTGGAGAGGAGTTGTCAGATGATGAAAGGGGTCTTAAATGCAGTGAATTGCCCCCTAGAGAAGCTGAGGTATCTCCACTGACTGCATAGGAGTCACAGCAATCCTGTGGTCAGCTGGGGAAATGTGAAGCAGTGTCTGTCAGAGGGTGAGGGTCAGAAAGCAAGAGGCACAGGAAGAGGGTAGCCTGTCTTATCCTTTGTTCAACCAACTGTAAATTACTCGGATGATGTGGTTTTAACCCCTCTTTCTTGGTATCTCTTTCTTGGCTCAGAAGGTCTGGGGACCTTTTTTTATTCATTAAAGCAATAGTTCCATGGATATTACATGCAAAATCTTCCACATCTTTTAGGGCCTCCTGTGAGACTGTGCTGGGTAAACAGAGAGTGGCAGAAAGCCCTGGATGGGGTCATGTAGAGTACTGTGTTGGCAGCTGCCCAAGAATAAGCCAGAAATCTTGTCTCTCATCACTAAACACATTTTACACTACATCTAGGCCAAAAATATACAAACCTCACCCTGCAGAGAAATGGGCACATAGAGAAAGCCTGGAGCCCCACGTTCTTCCTTCAATTGTGAGGGTTGATTTTTTGCTTTCAAATCACTTAGATGGTTATACTGAATTTTGTGTGGGTGTTGAAAATTTTATCTGAATTAAACAATCTTCTTAACCTGGTAGATAAATTAATGCATTATTGATGTAATCTCGTGTATTTATTTAATGTGCATGCTTGATAATAGAAGCATTTAATTTTTTTCAAATTTTGTTTTCCAACTTTGTATAAAACCTTCTGTTTGGTTGCACCAGTCACATTCTATTAGACAATGTAACACAATCTGACTTAGTGGCATTTCAGTGGATAATACAACAAAAATTGTTTCTTTTTAAGAAAAAAATGCAACAAGAAACCCTACAAGAATGAGCATTACAGAAATCGTGGCATGCTGAGAGAAAAGCCCCACAGATACAAAATGATAAAGGTCAGGACGTGTTACTCAAGTCTTGTTTGCAAGTAAAAATACCATGCTAACGTGTGGCTGTCAAAAACCTAAACGAGCCAGAGAGACTTCTGACAAATAATTTTGACAGTTCTCATAAATTGAAAATGCCTTCTTTGCCTCTCTCTTGTCTTTTGAAATGTTTCCCTCTTGCTTACATATGTGCAGAGAGAAACAGAGTTAACAGAGATGTTAAAACAGGGTGCTGTTAAAAATAACCTGTACCAAGCACTGTCTTTTGTGTGCTCTCTGGGGAATGCATTAACTGTCAAAAGTCTAACTTGAACTAACCACCCTGAATTTTCCATATACAAAATGATTTGCGTATCTTTTATGAGCATTTTTCTTCATACATTATTAAGCAAATTAAGAGATGTTCCTGTCTTGGGCAGAATTTCATTCAAGTCTAAAGGAGTTTGGTGCAGGTAAGCAGAACGAAGGGTTGAACAGAGGCAAAAATGCATTCACTTCTGCCATTTTTTTGGGTAAAAAAAAAAAAAAAAAAGCTGAAACTCCAAACCAAAAAAATTATTTTGAAAATTTTCAGCAATGCAAAAAAGAAACATGGTAAAGTAAAAGAAAATATCCTAGTTTTGGTAGAGATGTTGTGGCAAATTTTCTTGATCCCAAGTAGAATATTTGGCCAGAAAGACAGACCTTAAGATATCCAGTGCTTGGGGCTCTGCAGAGCACTGTGTGTGCTTGCAGGAGAACAGGGATGCTGAACCAAATCATCTACATCCTCACCTGCATCTGAGAAAAAAATTTCAAGGCATCATATTTTCCAAGCTGAAACTCTTGTTTTCTTGGTCACTCTCAGTAGCATCCCTGCAGATGTTCACAGAACATTGTGTAGCTGGACAACACCATGAGATTTGAATGAGAGCTGAGCTTATTCATGGAATTACTTGTGTATTGAAGCAAAGTAATTAAATACTTCTCTTATTTATGTTAATCAGGCTGTGCTTTTGACATATGTGCCTTTTATGTTATCATTATCATCCTGCCTCAAAATCTTTGAATCCTTCTCATACAAAAAGACCCAACAGTTGCAAAAATTTTATGCAATTTCCTATCAAGAATTGTTATCCTGTGTAAATATGAGCTTGCATTTTAAAGCTGGCAGAGCCTTAAGGAAACTGTATTTTTCAATTCAAATATATCCATATTCTTGTTTGCTTACACAGAGCCTGTACAGTGGGGAATTATCTTGTTAAGATCTAATAGTATACAGTGTGTGTGTGGTGTAAATATATGGCCATTTAAAATTCAAATACAGAATGTGGAGGTCATTGTAGGAACCTTCTGTGCCTCAGCAAGTGTGAATGAATTATCAGACTGCTTTCATTCTTTCCTCACTGTTCACATTATTATTTGCAGCTGGGAGCTATTCCATAAGTTACCTTTATATTAGCATTGAAAATTCCAAGGCTTTAAAACCAAAATATTTCTTCTTCTTTTACTCCCAGTTTTATTTGTAGGCTGTAAAAACACTCTGTGTGTCTGTTGATCAGAAACTGGTTGAGATGTTAGAAATTCAGTGAGCTAAAGTGGGTTTGGTGTAGTGGGGCTCTGAAAAAGAGAGAGCCTGTGGATTTACTGGTCCCTGACCCCTGTGGTGTGACTGGCTATTTTTATGTTACCCATCAGGCCTGTGCCAGGTGACTGTCTGTGGTGCTTTGGTGGGTGAAGATGGCCTTGTTCTGCTGTGAGGCAGCATTGCTGGGGTTTTTAGCAGGGAAGCTACTTTATCTGTGGAGAGCTGTGGGTGTAGTTAAACAGCAGGTGACTGGTTAGGACAGGAAGGTACTGGGGTGGCAAAGCAGCTGCTGCCTGCTCTGCCTGCCCCAGAGGGCTGGGAAGGAGCTTGGTGGCTGCTGCTGGAGGTAGCAATCATGAATTTCAGGTGGCAAAATTGGCAGCTCTCAGGGGCTCTGGTTTCTATGTGCCCTCTGGCTCCAGGGCAGCTGGCCTGGCTCCCTAGGGATACTTGGCATTAGCTCTTTGCCTTCCTTGTCCTATGGCAGGAAGAGCTAAACACATTCCAGATCTTGGTGCCTCATCCCTGTGGCAGCCAAATTCAGGTTTGTTTGCAGTGCTGAGGTGTTTTGAGCCTCCTTGCTCTGAATGTGTTGGTCTCCTGACAGCTTCCCTGCTGCTTCCCACTGGTCTTGCACAGTCTGGGAAATGCTCCTGGGAGGGCTCTTCACCTGGATGTCCATGTGGAAGAGTCTGAAAAAGAGAATTTGAAAGAAAAGTTACTACAGTAAAATCTTTCTTCTCATGGTGAGCTCACTCTCCAGAGAGTAGGAAACAATGGTCTATTGTAGCTAAGTTACTTGGTAACAAAATCACAAGTTCATGAGCTCAGATGGTAAAACCTGCACACTCCTTCCAAATTTCCAATTCTGCTGCTGTTGAGGAATGGATATTGCATGAGGGAACTCTTTGGTCTGCCTCAGAGGGAGGCTGCTCATTCCTTCTACAAAGTCTGAAAGAGCTTTACTGACAGTGTAAGTTGCAGAAGTTCTGGGTCACTGGTTACTCCATTTGCCTTTTTTCCCTGTTTGGCACCTGGTTCACTGAAGAGTTACAAACTTGTGTGTAAGCTTATTGACAGTGTAACCTCTGGTTTTGGTAAAAGAAAGGGGAAATGTAACGCCAGCCTTCTAATGTATTTAGATAAGTTCACACGACAGCTGTACCTGCTGGTACCAACGTCAATTTTCTCCCCCTTTATCCTGGAAATTTTGAATGATTTTGCTTTCATGTTGCCTGTGTGCTGTACTTTACACTAAGGGTAAGACACAGGCAAGCATGTAAAATTGATGTTTTCACTTGCCAGATTTTCAAACTAAAAAAGATTTCCTCCTGGCAGTTCTATCTCCAGATATTGCCACCCCATCTTCTAAAAATTTAAAAGCCCCTGTATATTTGATATCTTCTGGACTCTCACCAGGTATCAAAGGGAGATTATATTTGCTGGGCAGGTTGTCGACAGAACATAAAATATGAGTGAAATTGTAATTTTATGGCAGGGGCCATAGCTGTAACTGTCACAAGCACTCTGTATCCTCAATAGCCAGATGAAAAAAACATTTGATTGACTTATTTTTTTTCCCAAGTTAAACCAGGAAAAAATCCTCAAAATTATGAACATGGTGAAAAATAAAGAAGTGAGCATTGAAGGAGCTTTGCAGTTGGCACAGAAAGAGGTGTATGCTGAAAAGGTAAGGTCATTCCTTTGATCTATTTTGCAAGACATCCAAATGTGTGAGCATGTTCTGGAAAGCCTGGTTGAATGTTAGCAGCATGTCTGTACTGCTTTCAAAGATGCAGGTGGAACTTGTGCAAACATATATATTCCAGTTTGTAATCAAATATGTTAGGTACTAATGGCTAATGCTACCTGTATCCATGGATATTCCATGTAGATGCTGCAGCTGCACTAATGTCGTTACCTGGGTTAAGTAGTTGAAATCTAGATCAGATGTACCCATATGAGTTCTGTTCTTCCAAGTGCAACTTCAAGTGCTGTAACAAATGAAGGGCAAAATCCTTGAGCTGATATTGTGAAGCACCTCAGGAAAATGATGAGTCTAATCTCTGAGGGATCTTCTAGTGTTGGGTTGTCCTTGAGGCATGACTGGTCAGCAGAATACAACTCAGTGTTATGTGTGGCCACAAGAACAGATGTCTACAAAGTGAAAAGCCTTGGCCAGTGTGACTTCAGTTCTGACATTGTTTATGGTTGACTCTGACCTTCCATTGGGCAAAAGCAGAATCAGTGTAAAGGTGGCTTAAAGATCAGATTGAGAAAAAATTTTCATTTTTCTGCTGTTAAGGCCTTCATCTTTTCACTGAGAACCAGACATGGATCATTAGCATATTTCCATGTAATAGAAAGCATAGAAGTTCTTTTCCTGAGAAAAGTGGAAGTTGACAAAGTGGAAGTGGTTTGAAAATGAGGAGTACATTAATCGTATATGTTGATACATCAGCCTTGTACTCCTTTCCATAATCCCTGTCCAGTATCTCTCTCGTTGCAGTCTCTGTCCCTCATCACCACAGAAGTGCCAGTAGAGAATTCTTTGGAGTAATTTTCACTCTCTTTCCCCTTCTCCTCTGGAGTTTTGAATCAGCCTCTCTATGGGAGCATCTCTAGGAAATGGTGAAATCTTATGATGTGCTAATGGCACCATCTGAAATCTTTTTCCCTGCAGGAGCTTGTAGTGATTCTGAGATAAACCCAGTGCTTCCTGGAATTTTTAAAAATAACTTTCTGAACTGCTTATTAACTTCTTGGCTGGAAAGATGTAGGAGAAGCAAAAATAAATACTAATGAAAAAGCAGTGCAAGTTTTGCAGGAGGGCTGCAGTCAACAAAAATATTAAACTCAGCAGTGTAAGACTACATGGAAATACATTCTCAGAGTAAGAAGAGAAAGGACTCCTTTTCTACTTTTGCTGCATCCAGGTTTTTTGTGATTACTAATTATTTGAACTAAATCAAATTTAATATACCTGGATCATGAACTTCCCAGCATTTTCCTGAAGATTATAAAATTAGTAATTTTCCATGCCCATGGCATAGCTGTTGTAAGGGGCCAGATAACAAATTGCAAACCCTCTTATAAGGCACAAAGATCTTCCCTTTTGTGCTCTCCATTCAAGGGTCTGTAATTATTTTTCTTTAAAGTCACGTATGGTTCTTGTTTGCTACTTAACCCATTTAATAAAGTGCTGGTACTAGTGTTTTGAAATGTGTTTAGTACAACCCATGAGTTCTGTTCTCTTCCTCCCACTCTTCTTGCTCTCTGCTCTCCCTCTCACCTTCCATCCCAAACTGTGGTCCCTTCATTAGTTCAGCTGGACTTGTGGATATTTTCTGATTTTGAAAATCAGCTCAGGATGGTGCTTCCATGTATAAAAATGTGGAGTTCTTCTGCAGAGCTTCCAGCACTGTTTAAACACTGTTCACTGAGGAAAATTTCACCTGAGAACATGACTGGATATAAGTGGGCAAAGATTAGCACAGTGTTGGACATATTGCTGATTTCTGTTTTGTTTTTCAGGATGCACAGGATTTGCTGATTGGCTCTCAATTTAACTTTGTTATCTACAAATACAAGCACTATCGGTGGCAGAAACGGATTTTGCAGGTAGCTTTAAAAATTCTCCCTTTTGAAGCAATACATAAAAAAGATAAGACATTTGAGTTGCTTGGTAAATGTTATGAGATAGCTTAAAACACCTTGTGGTTCAGAGACCTGTCTGAGAGGTATAAGATGTTGAACATTCTACCTTTTACATCAACAGTATTCTGGGCGTAGTATCTGAAACTCCCTCTACTGAGTGCCTGGGAGGGACTCGATGGTCTAAGAAACATGATTTATCACAAAGATTATTGAGTGTTATAGGTTCTGCCTGGGAGTTGTTCTTATTAGTTAGCAACAGCAAATACACACAAATGATGCAGACATACTTAAATAGCAATCCCTTTTGATAGGACATCACTTCTTCTCCACTCTCTAAAACCTTGGGAATAAACATTCCTGGGATATTGTCAGATTATACATTTCATGTCTGGTTGCTCTGTCCCATGGAACCTTTTTTTTATACCATGAACCCTTAAGGCTTTCATGGCTTGCCCAATATGAAAGCAACTGATTAATAAACCTAATGGTGCTTTTCTGGTTTAATGAAGTCAGTGACAAGGTTTAATGTTGTTTTCAGGAACCTGGGTTTCACTGAATTTTTCCTGCAGTTTGGACAAAATTTGCTAATGAGCAAGTCCAAGTCACACTTGCTAGAGGGTGTTGTTTTGTTTACTACATCCTAAGTGTAGAAAGCATAAGCTTCTTATTTTTTTCAATATCTGCCAGTTTTTGGAATTAAAAGAGTACTTGTTTAGACATAAAGGTGATGGAAAAAGAAGAAAGCTATATTAGATGTGGAAGTTATCAGTCTGTGGATCTAGAGTAGTTTAATTAAATTTCTGTAGTTACCAACAGCCTTCAAAAGTCAGAGATAATAATGAGAATTGTTCTGCTTTGGAGAGTTCCTGCTATAAACAGACTGGGGAAAAGGCCACTGTTAGCATTTGGTTGGTGTGCTCTGCACTATGGGGATAAAAAGTGGCAAGAATCATTTGAGACCAAAGGTAAATATCTAATTCAAGTGAGATCTGAGACTTCTGAGTTTGTCTTCTCTGTGGGCTGCATTCACTGAAGCTGGACAGTCAGATAATATTCACATCTTATTGTATTAACAGCTGTTTCTCCTCAGCAGGGACTGACACATAGAACAGATACAGAAATCTGTCTGTACCAGTTTTTAACACTGCAGATACAGATTGTGCAGTGGAAGAACAATAATCCTATTTTGAAGCAAACAATTTTTAATTGTTACAGCTGTAAAACAGCAATAAAAGAACTTTACTGTCTATTATAATTTCTCCCTTCAGCTATATGTGCACATATATGTGTATATGTATATACAGGCAAAAATGTGTTAGATAAGATCTAAAACAAATCCTAGTAATATTTATATCAGAAAATAATTTCTCAGTTGTATCCTCTTTCCTGACACAGGAGCAGCTGTTATAAAAATAACCACCTCCTCTTCATGTTAGTGTTGGGGCATAGGTTGAAGCTGTTAGTAATTGAATCTTTCCTGAGACGGTCATGACATCAGTTTGTGCTACCCCAGCTGCTGAATGGGAAGTTTTTGCCCTGGATTGTAGGAGACAAGAATTTCAAAAGAAATAGTATTTCGGAGGGATAAACTGATGCATATTCATTGAAAGGGAAACAATGTTACAATGAATATCTGTTTGTTTTGTGACTAAAACAAAGATAGTACAGTATCATGATGATGGAATGTCATTTTTTATGCTACTCCATGACAAGATAGATGCATATTCTAAGCTGGTCCTTTATCTAAACGCCCTTGCATGGCAATAATGGAGATGCTGTCTTTCCCTTTCAATGAAGAGGCCTGATGGAGTCAAGTAACAAAGAACTTTCTATTCCAGATTGATTTCAACTCAAAGACCATTTTTAACATTGAAAAAGGAATTATTAAGAAGCAGTTCCCTTTCTCACAAGTCAAAGCCTGTGAAGACACTGAAAGGAGACGCTTCAGCATTGTGTTTCATGGGCGACAAGATTATGAGCTGGAAGCAGTGTCTCTTGATGATAAAAGGAAGGTAAGTTTTTATAATGTCATAGACAGTTTGCTATAAATAAAAGATAATGTTATGGTAGTACCCAGCAGGTTCCAATCATGAATGGCAATCGTTATGCTGTGCATTGTGCCAGCAAACAGGTAGGAATGCCTTTATTCTGTGCATGTTCATACATAGAACAAAAGGAATGTGAGTTCACGACAGAGTTTGGCCTTAGGATTTTGCTACAGTGCACTAGGGCTGAAGATGTAAAGGCAGCTCAAGATGTGATGTGAAAGTGGATGCATGTCTTCAACTACACCTTGACTGTAGTTGGTCTGAAATTGTATTAAAACAAGCCAACAAAGTTTATGACATGCACATTTGAATCTTGATTGAAATGATCTAAGCATTTCCCCCTATATATAAGATATTTATTAAAATGCATGCTTTCAAGAGGAATGAACAAGGCCATCCTGATACTGTGAAAAGAGAGACATAGTAGTTTATATTTTTCCATAAAATGTACTGAAATAATACAAATTATCAGAAGAAGACAGCCTAGGTACAAGGAGGTATTTTTTTGATTAAAGGATTCAGCATTGCAAGATTTTGTATGAGCTGTTTCATTTTGAGGTCTTGGCTCCTTTTGAGTTCTATTTCAATTAAATATTCCAAGTAGTTAATATAATTAAACTGTAGACTGAAACTTGAGAAACTCAAGTCATGACATTAGCACAAGCTTTTCACCTGAATGCAGAGATCTCACGTTTTCAGAGGTGATCAAGTCTTGGAGTTGGTGTCATCCCACTGCTGAGGTGCTGCAGCTAGCTGCACAATTTAGGTTGAGGTTCAAAGTCTCAAGCAGCATGTAAGAGTTGGTATCCAAACTTCTGCTGGGACCCATTTTTAAGGGTTTTTTCAAAGTGGGATTCATCCCTCATAAAACTGAACTGTTCACTCCACCTGCAGAAACTTTTATTCCAGATGAACAGTACCACATGGTTGATTAGTTTAATTTTCAAAATACAGTACATTTAGCAGAAGTGCTCAAGAAGATACTTGTGTTCTGTAGTAAGAATACTCAAATATGGCAAAAAGATGGCTTTAAATTCATACCTACCTTAATCCATGCTATTTTTAACTGCAGGCAAGCCTTCATTCTTCTGCGAGTTTGTTTGAGATTTCAGGTTAAATCAATCAGGGACTGTTTGGGCTTGAACTGAGCTGAAGAGAAACTTTGCCATAGATTGCTTTGTTTACAAATTAAAACAGTAAAATTATGTTTTACAGTAACCCCTTCAGAATAAAATTACATTCTCCTTACACTGACGGGTTTAGAACTGTGGACATAAAACTAAATGGCAGTTAAGTAGTTTAGCATCACTGAAAGACCCAATTTATTTTACATTTATTTCTTGTACCTGCTGCTTATGATGTTGGCTATCATTTTTATACATGAAAAAAAAATATCTATTAATGTGTTATTGAAGGGAATTAACACGGAAAATATACTCTCTCTCTGCTGCTACTTGCTATATAGATAATATACCTTCTGAGCCGAGTTATACAGGGCAATTCATACAAGAGACCAGCAGAGTCCTGCTCTGAAAGACCTGCAGAATATGACCTGATACATGAAGGACTTCTGGATTTGCAACGAAACACTTCTACATCCACTGAATGGGTGAAGTATGAACTGCATTTTCATAACTACTGGGCTACAGATTTTGTTAAAATTTCTAATAAATTCTACAAGATTTGAATTAGCTGATAATGAGTTAATTATTTAATTGCTTTTTAAAGTTAAAATGGATGCCAAATCTGCATGAGATTAAAACATTGGAATTAGCTGTTAGAGCAATGGTGATGCCCACCAAAATGAAGTTCTGGTGCTAGACACTGCTGTGTGCATTACTGACACACACATAGAATGGTGATGGTGCTCAGGGTGTTTTTAACGCTGGGACTTTGTTTACCTCTTTATTTTTTACTCCATATTCAGTCATAAGGAAAAGGAGAAAAAACATGGAAAAGCAGGTAAGGAATATACCTGGAAATTGCTTATATTATCAAGGGAGAGAAAGAGAGAGAGAAAAAAATCTGTTTAGCAAAAACGAATGAAAAAATTTAACATTGTAATTATCTGCACAGGGCAATTATCTCAAAAGACTTCACAGAAAATGATTTTAATTGTTTTTAGAAGACTACCACTGTATGTCTTGTAAACAATATCCTCAAGTGTCCAGGATTTGTTACCTTGCAATGTTTAACAAGTTTGTTAACAAACAAAAATTGATTTTTATTTATCTTGTGAAGCAAAGCCCTTGTTGCCTTCTCCTTGATATTAATCCTCTCTTTTTTTTTTTTTCTTTTTCCTTTTTTTTTTTTCTTGGCAAAGTAACTAATGGTGGAAACATCTGGAGATCCGATTAAGCTCTAAGTCCCTGCTTTAAAGAAAGGAGAGATCAATATAACTGCCAGCTCCATTAAACAAGTCTTATCACTTTGACTGTTTATGTGGGAATAGATGCAATTTATATTTTATGTTTAATTCTTTTGGAGCAGCTAAACTTATTTAAATTCCTCATAGAACACCTTAATCAGCTAGCCACACCTTGAAGAGAGAGTGGAGGAAAAGAGAGGTCTGATAGAACTGTCAGAATGATAAAGAAACGCAATAACCCTCAAGAAAAATGAGAATGCAAATGCTGAAATAAGAATAAAATGCACATACAGTAAAGCCCTGCTGTTGGTGAATGTGGGACCTTTTTTATAAGGAGCAGGGCAGAATCCTAGAGGAGAGACTGAAGCAGAAGATTCTGCTGTAATAGAAGCTGTCTATGTTCAGGCAATTTCTGCCAGCATTCATGTATCATTTAAATAGGTAACAGCCAAAGTTTGGCACAGTCACTTCTGATGGAAGTCCTAGACAGCAGAATACTTTGACCCTTTCCTGCCAAGTGGCTCATTGGAAAGAGGAGGGGATCAGGATCTATCCTCATGGAGTAAGAGCATGCACAGAGGCTTTTCCAAGAGGGAGAGATACATGGTTGTGCACTACCTTGTATTATGGTGACTTGTTTATAACTTGGTGGCAGGGAAACCTGAAAGACAGAAATTCTGAAGCCTTTCATATAAAGAGCTGCTCAGTCACATAGTGAGTCCTTTAAAAGCTCATGGTCCAAAAGACCCACCATCCCAAATAAACAAGAATAAATAGAGTGGACAGAGTGTGGCTAATAAATTAGCAGGGCTTGAGTGATTTTTTAGTCAAAAGTAAAATCTTAGTTTTAGCTCTGTCATTAGACATGGCAGGCCAGAACTTCTTATTTTATGTCACAAATTACTTATGTGTCAGATGAGAATAAGAACCCCTTATCTCAAAGGTTTTATGCTATAGTATTGATACTTTTTGACTGTTCCATAGCTGTTACACATAAAAATGTGGAGACTCATTGACATTAGAAAATGCTTTAACAAGGGCAAGGTTTGTGTAAATAAGTAGTCAGTGAAGAATGAACTGTATCTCCATTCCTTGTCCTTCAGGTGCTTGGTACAACTACGTGAAGGAGAACTGACTTTATATTGCATTGGCCTGGGAGGAAACAACAAGCCTGCAGACCTTGTAACAAATACAATTAATTTGTCAGGTGGTAATGTGAGTGTCAGCAAGGAGAATGGATGCAGTACCTTTGCAGTCCAGACCAAAGAACACAATTATTTGTAAGTATAGTTGGTAATTTATAATTAGTTAAAGCAGAACTCCTGAAAACAAGGTGAAACAAAAGAGAATCTTAGTGTTCCAGAACAGAATACAACAATGGAGAAAAGAGGATATCAGAATTACATAGATACCCCCTCCCATTGCTCTCCAGTGTTTTGATGAGTATTTTGAGGAGGAATCAAAAGTACCACTTCGTGGAATTGAGAAGATACATTCAAATACTGCCCACAAAGACTTGTCTAGCTGTCATGTCAGGAGCCAATGAAGACATATATTGTTCAGGTTGATAGGACAGATGTGTGAACAGGTTCTGACTAGCTTGTGCAGCAAGCACAGTGAGACCCAGCACATTGTTCACCTTCCCCCAAGGTGGAGAAGAGGAATTACGAGGTAACTGCACCACAAAGTCAATACATGGCAAAACTTCAGCTCTCTTGCCTTAGACACGTAAGCTATTAACTCTCTCTGAAGAGGTCAGAGTCAGCAGCACTGGGCTCCTTTGACAAGTAAAGCTGCTGAACATCATTCTGCTTAAATAAGAAATATCTGTGTGTATTAGTCAGCATGTTATTTACACTTCCTTGCATTTATATATGACATTCTTAAATTTCAGATTTCGAATACCCCTTACTGTCCATAATACCAGGACAGAGGAAGTTAGCAAGCTCCAGAAGGAATGGGTGTCTCTCATAGAAAGGAACTGTTCACTGTGCAAGGATGCCTCACTGCCCTGGGAGGGATCTCAAGGATGCACCTCCTCTGAAGCTGATTATGAAGATTTGACTGTACCTATGAATGAACAGAAAGAGAAGGCTCTCCACTTTGGTGTGAGTTCTGCCAAAAAAAGTCTGAACAAGCCTTCAAGCCCCCAGACAAAGCCTGTAGAGGCAGACACAGCCCCAGCATCACCACCTCTTTTACTTCCCACAAGTAAGGCAGAGGTACCACCAGCCCCACCTGTGTTCCTGCAGCCCTGCAGCCTCGCTCCATCGACAAAGAGAACCAAAGCCTTTCACTGGGATGTTGTTCCTTGCGATAAGGTGAGGACAAAAGTGATGGCAGCTGTTAAAGGAAGAAAATATTGTAGCCTGTATCACATGTATAGTTATATAGAGGTACAGCACTGCCACAAAACAACCTAGCTGCCCTTCTGTATGTTTGGATGGAACAAAGTGACTCTGTTCTTTTGGCTTTTTGTTGACTCTGTCACTCCTATCTTTTTAGATTCAAAAATCTGTTTGGGGATCATGTGACCCATGCAAGAAGAAAATAGATGTATCCCGGCTCTGTGATCAGTTCCAGATCCAGGACATGGCAGTTTTTTCAGGCAATGAACCTTCAGTGAATCAGCACATCATATTAGACCGAAAAGTTGCACATAACTTCAGTAAGTTTGTTAGTGTACTCCTCTCTGGAAGCCTGGGGTGAGCACTGCATGCATTTTCTGTTTGCCATTCAATAGGCAAAGAAGACAAGCTTGTGTCTAAATCACATTTTAATTCCATGCCTCTCTACTCATTGGTAAAAACAGACCTCATGGCTCACTTGCTCTAAATGTGGCCCTTAATGATGAGGAGTAGAAGCACCTAGTGCCTCCTCTTTTTGTACAAAATGTGTATGTGCCATCAAGCACATGAGTTTTCTTAGGACAGACATGTAAAATCATGCATGATGCCTGTGAAATCCATGTTAAGACTCTGACTTCAAAGACTTCAAATGTTGTGGGCTGGAAGTCAACAGAAAGAACTTGGTAGCTGAGCCCAGTATTCTGTCTCCCTCCTCCACTGAGCTCAAGAATATTCATGTAGGTGTCATGTAGGTAAGGAGCCTCTGAGACAGCTGCAAGCCAGGTGCAGCAACTCTTTTGGCCTTTCTCTGGCCAATAGCTTGGATATGAACAGAAGTCTTGAATGACTGTGAACAGGGTCCTGCCCTCTTGAATCCCATGTACAATTCTGCCAAAGACCTGACCTAGAACAGACTTTCACAGCTACTGAAGCAATTCAACAAATAGTCCTGGTCTTACTAATAAAATGATGTAAAGGTCTTTCCATTTGTGTGATGAGAAGTGGTAGATATTAAAGGAACAAGAGTAATTGTTCTTCAAAAACTACTCTGATTTCCATTATAGAAATGGTTTTCCAAAAAAGTTCTAGAACCTAGTGGTTTTAAGAAATAAGTGTATAAGTGTAAAGAACTTGGGGCAGCTAATTTTGAAGTTTTAACGATTTCATCTTTATGTATTTTGATAAGAAGGACTATACTTTGGAGATTATGTAAATTTTAATTGGGAATTGTAAGTGGAGATAAATTGTACGAATTACTGCATCCGTTGACTAACAATTTGAAGGGTTAAAAGGAAGTGAGTGATACAAAAGTGCTGTTGCAGATAAAAAGAATCCTGTAATAGCACTTTTATCTACTAAATGATTGCATTTTCTTTGAGGAAATTATTTCTTTTGGTTTGCAAAAGGCACCATTTTTCCTTTTGATCCTGTTCCTCTTGCAACTTTTTTCATCAAGACATTCTACATCTGTTTCTTCATCTTATCCTTAAAGTCCCATCAGTGAAATATTTGGCATATTCTTATTATAATGGACATTACCTAGATCAAAAGTTAATTTGATCATGAGGATCCTGATTAATCTTTCTGCAAGTGCAAGTGAACCACAGCTCTTGAATAACAAATAAAAAGGTGAAGCACCAAAACAACAGTAAGTTAAAATTTCTTGAGAATTTGACTGGGTTTCTGAACACCAGAGAAAAATGAGAGTTCTGAGAGATGATCTCCACACTAAATTCAAGCCCAAATGCAAATAAATAATTAGTCAAAATCAATTTCCACAATATGGAGGAAAGGGTGTCAGGAAGACAGGAAAAACATTGTCAGGTTTCCAAGGAGAAAGTTTTGGGAGACACTACAATGTATATGTTGATCCAAGAATGAGATCTAGTGGGTGAAAAATTGAGTTAGGGGTTAACATAAAAGCTTTTGTGACTTGATTGGTGTCTTTCTCTACACGAGACCCAGTTTCCCATACATATACACATTCCTTTTGCCTAGAAAAAGACTTCAGCAAATCTGATGACTATAATTTATTCAGTGGCTTATTTCAACTAGTGATAATGTTTGAAAAAATATTAAATGCTTTGTAGACAGGTTGTGAGAATTTCAAAATCAACATTTTACTGTGAGTTATTCACTCTGTTACAGTCTGTAGACATCACCCCACCTGAAGAGATGCAGGGATTAAAATGCGCCATAAAAAGGCATAAAAACCATAAGAGGGAAAACAAGGAAGATTCTGCCAGGCTTAGCAGTAAAGCTCAGAAATTATAACAAAATTAAAGTGTGGAAGCTGTGTCATAGAAAGAATAAATGGTACATACTCTATTGGCCAACAGTCTCCTGAGAGTCATTAATAGCTGACTTGGATCACAGCAAGTTCCTATAGCCTGAAAAACTCTGTTCCCTTTTAGAAAGGGGCGGGGGCGGGGAAGTAAATCATACACCTCTTTCCTGAATTCTCCTTCCCAATCCCCTTGTGCTGCTCAGAGGAATTCTGCCACAGCAGAGATTCTGGGACAAGTTTCATGCCAACACTGAAGCATTTAAACCTTTTTTCTTTCTCTGTTCGCTTCCTCGTTCTTCCTTTTTATCTTCAGCCTTTGGTAATGATGATGGAGACTGACAGTAATTAGAGTAACTGGCAAGACAAAGTAGTCTTTTGGGGAGCAGTAGCCTTACAAATGGCTCTTCACCTGTTTGGGGAAGAGATGTTTGATTTCCATTTTCCTATCATAGTGCACATTATGAGCCAGCCTCAGGTCAGCACAGAAATCTGAAACATTACAAAAACTCTTCATCAGAGTTTGGAATATTAGGCAGTGTGGAAGAAGCCAGCATTTCTTTCCCATTTTGCTTTCATACATTCTTTTGACTCCTAGAAATTTAAGCAAATAAACAAAATAAAAAGAAATGGAAATTTAAATTTCTTTAGCCTTCAACATTTTATAATGCACCAAGACATTTTATTTTTATTTGGAAAAAAATATAATTAATTGTTGTGCTGGGTACAAGAGAAATATATAATAGCAACTACTTGAGTACCCTCTGATAACAGGATCTTGGTAGTTCTGTCTTAATCATTGGCTGTGTTCAGTCAGAAATGTATTTTTGCTTGACTAATGCGGTATATAGTTAAAGAAAATATGAAGCTGGAGTTTTTGTCTTAGTGTTAGCAGCTACTAAGTGTTTTTGGGGTATTTTATTTTACTATTTATTTTATTATTTAATTTTTATTTCATCTGGAAAGTAAATATGAAAAGTTTAGGTGATTTTTCCTTCCCTTTCTCCCAAGTAATTTAAGAATAATTTTTCTTCAGACATTTTTCTTAAAAGTTTCCGTATAAAACCAAGCGAGTTGAAGGAAAAACTGTACATTATACATGAAGAGAGTGGTGGACTTACAGATGAGCAGATTACAGCACTGAGAAGGTAATCTTGGGGGTTCCATTTTTTGTTAGTAATATATGTTGTCTTCTGGAGAAGAAATAATCTCTGCAAATAATGGGAAGCTCAGGAAAGATGCTTTTGAGCTTGACTGTGAATAGAATATTTGAGCTGCACACGGAAATCTGTCCTTGAAACTGAGACTTTAGAGTTTGTCCCCAAAATATAACTTCTCCCCTTGTGGTGTAGGAAAGGGGATTGCAAGAAATAAGAGCAAATCTGACAGAATTTTGTGAACTGGTTACAAGGAGCAGAGTGATTAAAAGAATAGGTTGTGGCAGTGAGCAGGTGTAACTTGATGAGAAGACTTTTTGCAGCTTCTCTTACTCCAGCCTTGCCATCTGTTGTGGGATGAGAAATGAAAGAAACAAAAGGAATCCTGTTCCCTACTTAAAATTGGTTTGGAGAAGAGGAAGCCAGACAAGTGTTAAAGGAGGTTAATGGGTTGATGGGTTATTAAGAATATCAGTATTTCTGAGTGGCAGAGATTTGTGGGTTTAAAGCAATGTTGGTATCTTTAAAAAAACTAAGTTACTGTATTGAGAGAAATAGATTTCAGGAGTGTAAGTAAATTATCAGCATGTGAAATTTGTAGTAACTGGCCTGTATTTCTCTGAATAGCTTAAGACAGAGGAAGAAGTGGGATCCTGGAGTAGTGTCAGCTACATGTCCCAGTCCCCATGTGATATTGGTACCATTTCTTAGACACATTAGTATGAAAGTTTGACATGAAATTGTTGCTTCAAAACAAGAAAACATTTGAGGCTGGTTTTTTGTTGTTGGTTTTTTGTTGTTGTTTTTTTCTTTTTTCTTTTTTTCTTTCCCTAGAGGGGACCAATGTGTCTACTTCTTATGGAGTGAGTTTAATTCTCGACTTAAAATCCTTATCCTAATCAGAACAAACCTAGTAATTTTAAAGTCTGCAGAATCATGTCTGCACTTCTAAAGTGATACGAACAGGAACAGCAAACAGGAAACGTATGGAGTTAATGTCATTATGTCAGACTGCTTGGATGAAGCTTGCCTGAAGCACAAAGGGATATAGGCAAGACACAGAATATTTAAATGTTTTCATGTACCAGTGTTCTGGAGGAAGTGTCTGTGCTGCCCCAGTGCTTCACTTGTTCTACCCTGCACTGCTGCACAGCCGGTTAGGAACTGGTGAAAAGGTGTTTAGCCCCACTGAGGTGGGCCTTGTTGCCTTTCCAAAGCTGACTTTAAAGGCTTCAGTAAAAAAAAAAAAGAAAGATATTACTATAATACTGCAGTTTCTAATTGCAGTGTTGGAATTGGCTGGAAGATAATTTCAGTGGAATGTTTTGGACATGGAGAGTGCTCTCTGTTGTTCAAGCCCTAGTACAGCACTGCAGGTTCAGCCCAGGATCTCCAAGGTGCTGAAATGAGTGTAACACCACTGAGATCACTGACTTACAGCATCTGGGCTCTTTGCCACCAGACAATAACAGTAATAATAATGATGGCAATGAAGCTTGAGAGATTTTTTTTTTTTTTTCCTTGAAGGTTTCCAAGTCTTACTTTGATAGCAGCAGTGCTGAGGAAATTTTTCTAGCAAAGAAATGTGTGAGAGACATTGGATGCAGCATTGTTAGATGTTATATGGGATCAAAAGTTCACTCCCTGGGATTCTTATTTTTTGCCAAAATCTAGGAATGCATGTACAAATCTTGGAGTGAAAGGAAGCGTGTTTTTCCCATTCCAACTGTTTAAAAAATGTTACTGAGATAGATGAGAATGGAGGGCTGGATTTCCAAGGCAGTTCAGTGTCTTGCAGCTCCCATGCAGGCATCTCATGGAAGGAGCAGACACTGATCTGGTCAAATCAGCACTCAGACATTGCTCTGGAGCAGTGCTCTGCAGTGGAGTTGGTGTGACACAGGCAGAGGGCACGTAGCACTTTTGAAGACCTTTCCATTCAATTTACATTGGTGTAAAACTTTACTGTGGAAAACTGGCCTCTAATTAATTGAGAACCTGTGGTTATGACAGGAGTTTAAACAGGATAGTCAGCAGTTGGAAAATTCCTCTCTGTGCAAATTATACCTGTCATACTGTCTAAGCCTGACCAGAAAGTCTAAATTTGACTATTTAAAAATGAAAATAATTGAACCAAGATTACCTTTTCAAAACTGTGACCAGGGAGCAAAATGTTCTGGTCGTGTATCCAGTTCAGGTTGGTGGAGGTGGTGGAATATTATTAGAAACTTCAGGACTCATTTTGATACAGAAACCTATCCATAGTTCCCTGGATGATTCTTTTGTCTTGATGTCTTAAAATCAATCACAAAACACTTTTTGTCTCTAGAAACCTACTTCTTAAGAACAGTGGGAGATATTTTGTTGCACAAATTCCTTTAGAATTGTATCAATTTAAATATATATATATGGAACATGTTCACCTATTCTTGTGTTTCCTTTTCCATGGCTTCCATTGTTTAAAGCCTTAAGCTTTAAACCTTTTAGGTATTTTGCTAGTTTGATTTCATGAACATAATACCTTAAAACAAGTTGATGGGACATCTGACTTCTGAGTAAATGAAGATATTTGCTGTCAGATTTTTTTTTTAGTTTTTGAATTTGCTTCAGAAATTAAAATGTTTTTAATGATAAGGAATGTTTCATTTGCCAAGAGATTACTGTTAAATGAGAATTTCCTAACAGATACCTGTTGGTTTTATATGACAATTCATTTATTATTATTTTTTAATAGTGAAGGGTGATGAATGGAATATTTTGTAATCTGCTCTAATATAGATTTAACAATTTAAAACCCAGCAGTTATTCAATTGAAGTGTCATAATAAATTACAGACAGTAGTAAAAAAACAAACTCATTGTTTGTCCTGTATTTAACATGCTAAAATATTTGCTTTATTTTTTCCATCTTGGAATAAATTTCCTTACATTTAAGAAAATGTATGTCTATCCCTATGAATGTTTAATCACACGCTGCAAATTTAGCAGCTTGTTGGCAGAGAAAGCAGAGAAGATAGCAGACCTGAATACTTATTTAAGATTCTTAACAAGCCTTCTCTCCTGGTAGCTAAAACATTGATTTCATTTTTCTTCTTTGAGATATCCTATGAATTCCCATAGTCAGGCAGAAAGATCTCCAAAGGAGGGGAACTGTGGTGGTGTGAGTTTATTTTTCCAAGTGAAGGCATGTTTAAAGACATCAGTTTTCTAAAAATCTGCTCTGAAGCACCATGGGAGGATATTTGGTTACCTTGTGCAGAAGGAAGAAAGTTGCAGGGCCTGTTACGTGCTGAAAGGAGAAATGGATCTCAGACGTGATGCAGCTCTTAGAGAGAAATGTCCTTGCCCACTCTGGTTTCCTGGGCAATCCAAAAAAGCTGTAGAGTTAGGGGTCAGTCAGGCTGTGGGGTCCACTGGTTCATCACACCACAGCATCAGTCTGCTCTGCTTTTTTGAGTTTATCAAATAAGTTATTGCTGCAGAGAAGCTGAGTCAGCATGGCCATAACTGCTCACAAAGGGTGTGTTGTTTCTGGGTGCTTTAAAAGGTTAGTCCAAGCAATGAAAACAAGGCACGTATGTATCAAGCACAGAATTAATGAATCTCTTTGGAAATTATGGCTTTAACTCCTTTGTCACAGGGTTTTACAGTCGCCCAGGCCATTGTAAATTGTCTGTGGAGCTGCAGGTGAACTGCTGACAGCTGTTTCCAAGCCTTATGTAGATATATATGTATTTCCAGAAATGCTGCTATATCTGCACATTTTTGCTTTCCATCACACATTTGGCTCAAATGCCTATAAAATTCCCATGGTTAAAGAACAAATATGCTATACATAGAACACACTAAACAGTAAAAACTGTTGATGCATGGAATGGAGTGATATTTTTTTAATGTTACAAAAATAGAATTTTCATTTTCTGTTTTACAGATACATGCCAACACCAAAAGATGCAGAAAAGTACCAGGCACTCAAGGGGTCTCCTTCAGAGCTGCATGTGGTTGATCAGTTTATGTTAGAGGTAAGAGGGCACAATGTTAAAACACACCACATGTTATTTCTTACCTCTTCTAGGTAAAACCACTGCAAGAGTCTTTTGTTTGAAACTTAATTTTACAATCTCAGCCAGAACCTGTATAAGAGGATTTGTCTAATAAGGAGTTGAGGCAGGTAGATATTATGAAGAGAAATGTATGGATTCCTTTGTGTCTCCAAGTCACATGCCATCCCCTTCAAAGCAGGAGCTGACTTACGCTGAGGTAGCCTTCCAAAATCTACAAGCATACAATTGTATGCATTTAATTATTCTTCTTCACAGAAATGAGTGTCATTGATTTTAATTGTGTCTGACTATACTAGCAGAAGTGTTATCTTGAATTCACATATAGAGATTGCACATTCAGGTATTTTTATATTTGCCATGGTTTGTCTACAGGTACAAGGCCTGCAATAAAATTAACAAATAAGCATAGAAATTAGGAAAACTATGGAGCAGCTGAATTACTTAATATATTATGAGAGACAGATGTGCATGTTTTGATATAAACATGGGTTTTGATTCTTTTTATGCAGATGTGTAAAATCCCTCACTTAGGCCAGAGGTTGGATCTCCTACTCACCATACGTGAGCTCCCTGTGAGCATGAGAGATTTAGAGCCTGTAAGTAACTCATTACTCCTTCTCAAAATCTGCCAGTTAGATAGTAGAGGACCCAGTGGCTTCAGGAAATTTTGTGGTTTCTTTTTTTTTTTTTTCTTTTTTCTTATAGCAAAACTTCTCCCAGTCCATAATGTGAGCAATTCATAATAAATCTAATAATCCAGGCAGCCTGGATAAAAACCCAAGCATTTCATGGCAGTGTTTAAAAGTAACAAGCAAGAAAGTTTTTTTAAAAATAAATAAAATAGTATCTCTTTCACCATTAAAATTCAGTTCATTTTGTGGGATGATTCTTTCCCCACAAGCTGAAAGAATCCATCTAAAATCATTAGATACTTAGAATAAATTCATTTGACCAGCATCTCACAGGCATTTACTATTTTCAGAAGACTGAAGGAGGCTGTTTGACCTAAGGATTACAGCATTGAATTGAAATGTTGCAAAGCAGATTTCAGGTCCCTCTCTTCCTTTTTCAGAATGACTTAGGGGTGAGTGGGATGCAAATAAACATTGTTCCAGTCTCATGGACTAGATCTCCTGGTTGCAAACCACTGCCTTATCTGCCAGGGTTTTTACATGCTTTGATTGAAAGCAAATTATTTTGACACAATCTGCTTATGTGAAAAGGTTTCAAAGGTTTTTCTCACACTCTGTATGGGAACAAAAACACAATTTTAAAGTTCTGCAAGTCTGACCTGTTATCCTCTGTCTGGCTGTGATTAAAACCATAGTAACAGTGAACAAAACTCAGAAGAGGAACAGATGGAAAACACTAGGGAGAGGCACAGATTTGTGACCCTGCCTGGTACAATGCTTCACCTTTGCTGTTCTCCACTGAAACCAAATATTTGAATATTTGGAGGCTATTAATACATCCTGTTTGCTTTGAAGGATATTTAATGTTCATTGAAGAGCCAGTTAATTGTCTTAAGTATTTTCCTACTTATTCATGCACGTTTGTAAACCATATATTTTACACCTAAAATTCTATGGGACAATCTAAATACTGACTTTCAGCACCCTCAGGCTTTGTCATGTGCTATAAATGCTTTAACAATGGCTTTCAGCTCTCCCACGTGTTTCATCCTTTCCCTGTTCTTAAACTGGCATGTTAGTCCCTGATGAAGAGAGGTGTGGTGCTAAAAAATATACATTTCCTAATTTAAAACAAAACTACCTCTTGTGTCTCTAGCCCTAGAAGGGAGGTGGCTTCCCTGGGAAAACAGAAATTGATACTGAGTTTGATTACAGGAAATTATTCTGCCTTGTGGGGAAACTGTGCTAAGAATTTTGATAAGTCTTCAGCTGGTGTAAACAGAAGGGAGGGAGGTGAAGGATGGAGAGCCTTATACTGTGCTTCAGGCTATCTGCTTCCCCTGGTGCCTGACATTTGGTGCAATCTGGTGGATTCAAACAGCAAAATACTTTTCCTTCAGCAGCATTTTTAAGAGATGAGGTTGAAGTTGTTTTGGCAGGGCTGGTTTGGCAGCCAGAAAGGACGTGACCTCCATCAGGGGCAGGGCAACTGTGCCAACACCAGCTTTATCTGGGTGGAAGAATTTTAGCTGGTCCTTCCTGAAAACCCCTGGCCTTTTCCCATAGGGAAGTTGAACAGGAAGGTGTCCATCAGCTAAAGTGTCACTTGCTTCAGGTGGGGACAATGAGGCTTTTGGCAAAGGGAAGGTACAGGCACCATTTACTTATTCACATTTTCAATTTGACCTGAAGGAAGGTTTCTGTGTTTCAGCTAATAAACCAGAAAATCCAAGCAAGTAAGCAGCTACAAGCCAGCCAGAAATTTGTTGCTGTCTTGGAGTACATTTTAGCCATTGGGAACCATTTAAATGAAAAGGCTGGAAAAGAGAAAGCTAAAGGATTTCGATTGTCATCTTTGACCAAAGTGAGTAAATATTTTTCTTGTCATTGAATTCATCCTATTATAGGGTATGTTAGCCATTAATAGTAACTCAGTTTTGCCCTGAATGTGGGGAAAGGCAGTAATTTTTAATGAGTAGCTAACATTTTAACATCTGCTGTTGGTTCCACTAGAAACAAGATTCTGTTTAAGATTGTATTCTTTAATGTAAGTTGCAACAAGATGCATTTCCCCACTTCAGAGAGCAGCACTGGCTAGTGGGGGCATTGTGGTGTTGAACACACTCTGCCCCTAGTGAGGTGGAACATCAAAATGCTGACTGCACTGGAGTAATTCCTCAGTGCTTCGTTTTACTCCAATGCAAAGGCCTTTTGCAGCAAGTGGTACAATGCTATTTTAAGGTAAAGCTTAAAAAGTAGAATGTAAATAGATTAATAAATTCAAAAGGAGTGAAATTTGCCTGGAACAGTTTTAACCCCCCCCCCATCATCGCTCTGCTGGATGATTGAATAGGGGATGAAGCAGTTGCAAGAAGCACCATCTGGATCTTGGTTCTCTAATTGTCTCTACACTGACCTACAACTTGTGTGACATTAGGCTGAGTTTTCCCTAGTTCTAAGGAAAATCCTTCTCCCTCTTCATCAGAATTTGCCATCAGAAAATGCTGCTGCTGAGCACAGGGTTTTTTGCCTCCTCCTCCACCTGCAAGTGGCAAAGCATCATATTCTTATCCTAAAAAGTAAGAAATAGATACAAATTTCCTAAGCTGCCTTGTACCTTAACGCTATTGTTAAATTATGCCTGATCTGTAAATAGAAGAGAGAAGGATTTTGATTTCAGTTTTTGGAAAGTATCTTTCTCATCTGGAGCCTTGAATGTATGAGTAATTTTTAATTCTAGTGACAACTGAGGCACAACCTGCATTTTATATATATATATATGTGTGTGTATATATATATATAATGGCCGTAATACCACATCTACCGTAATGAAAAATGTCTGCAAACTCATTTTTTTGCCACAGAGCATCTTCCCAGATTCAATTAAGGAACTTTACTATCGTCATGACCACAGCACACTGCTTCTAAGTGGAAAGGAATACTGGCTGTGTTTGGAGGTGCAAACTCAGCTGTGATCAGCTAAGGTACCTTCAGTTGGGAAAGACCCGTGTGAATAAGAAGACACAAAAGAACATGGGAGGTCAATGGATATGAACGTGTAAAGCTGATCTTAACTAAAAATGTCTGTGAAATGGCAGACTGAAAAGGAGAAGTTTAATTGCATTGTGTTTTCTATTCTTGTCAAATTTACCTGGGAGCTATCAACATCCCTGCTGGTCTTTTTTTAAGTATGATAGCTCAGTCTGTCAGTTATTGCTCCGTTCTCTTTGCAGTTACCTCTGTTGAGGGGTAAGGAGAGGACATTCACCTTGCTTCATGCCCTTGTGGAACAGATCTTCTTACATGAGCCTGATCTTGTCAAATTTTCACAGGAGTTGACAGAATTTGAAGCTGTTCCTGTTGGTAAGAGGAGGGAGGGGGAAAAAAATAATCAACAAATAAAAAATGAAGTCCTTCAACTTCTGTGGAAACTCCCTTCCTCACAACATGAATAATACTTACTCACATGTTTTTTTCTCTCTCTTCCTTTCCAGCTTCCATGAAGGGCCTCAGTGCTGAAGTTGATGGTATGTAAATTTTTTCTAAATTCAGAGAGATTTTCATACATTGTGCAGTCATTTGGAACAGGTTTTTGTTGCACTTCTGTAGTTTGTAAAGGAGGTAAAGGTTCAAAACATTGAGGTAAAGTGTTGCTATGGTGATAATTAACCTGCTATGTTACTATGAAGAATTAAAAAAAAATAAATGTTAAAGTGTGTCCAGGTGGTTTAGAAATATAAAAAAATATACTGCCCATGGTAAATGGAGTTTATCATAAACTACAAATGTTAAGTGATACAAGTGCTCCTTAAAAGTTAGGGCTACAGCAGTCTCCAGGAGCAGGCAGTGCAGCAGGAGAAAACTTCCTGGAGTTCAATCCTGAAGTTCAGGAACTTCTTTGGTCAAAATGGATCTCCTTCTCTAGAGAGAACTCAAACACTAATGAAGTCAACAGGAGGGAACAGAATAGGGTTGTTCAAGGGAGACATTTATGACTTACTGTTGAACAGTATCATAAGATGATCAGTGAATTCAATGGAATTTTAGATAGAACCCTTTGAGATGTGATAGAGAAGGTATATGAGTGGATGGAAATTACTTGTATTGAAAATTTATGAAAATCTTTCTTTGGAAAATGTGGCATGGGTGTTGACTGCAACTAGAGACCAATATATCCTGTTTCAGCCTTTGATGACATACCTGAATGAGAGCTGCTCTCAGCTTTCAGTTTGAAAAGCCCTTGTGCCTAGTCTGCTGGGCTTTGGGAGTCAGCCAGGCAGGTAGCTTGAGGCTACTTAAGTGTGGGTTTTATTCTGTTCCAAGAAATTACAATCAACTTTTTAGTAGACATAAGTAACTAAAAATAACACTATTTACCTTCAACCACTTGTGTTCTTTGGGGACAGAGTTGGTAGCAGTTCAAAATCACTAAATGTTTTAAAGACAGTTTTGGAAAGTCATGGGTAAAGTGGTACAGTGGACACGGTACCAGAAACTGTTGGGAGCTGTTGAAGGAGGTGAATCATGGGAACTGGAGGAGATTGACTGGTTTCTTCCCTCCATGGATTCCTGGTGGTCCCAGCATAGTCACTCATAATCTGAGTCCCATTCTCCAGGGCAAAGAGGGAAAGCTATGGACCAAATGCCACTGAGCTAGCCTTTCTCACCATGTAGTTCAAAGCATATCCTGGGTCTCATCTGCTGCATGTATAGCATGAGCACAAGGGGAAGATGCTAGACTGCAGCCTGGGTCAGTTCAGGACTGAGCCCCTGGAGCCAAAGGATCCTTTTCTCTCCTCATTGCATCCTATGGGAGCTCCTATGGCAGCAGTCTGATCTGGTGGTCAGTGCCAGCTGGCAAGATTTCTTACTGTTACCTAGAGTAGAATGTTTGTTCTTCTATCTTTAAAGGAACCCTGAACCTCCTACACAAAAACATAGGTTTGAAGAATGTTACTTTATTGCTAATCCCAATGCTCAAAGCTGGCAAAGGTCAGACTTATGGCTGCTGCTTAACCAGCTATTGTCCTCTTCATTATTCTGTGGGTGCTGTGATCACACAGTATTTCTTCCACAAGACCCGTGTCTCTTTCAGGATTTCTATTTCAAAACAGAAAGTTAATATTCCTAGATGAATGTAGTATAGACCCATATTTTCCTACATTTTCCATGTGTGCTAAATTAGATGTTAGCAGTCATTGGGGCACAACTGCACAGTAGTGACATTTCTCATTTCCTTTCTCTTTTTGTTAGTTTTAAAAAAAGAATTGGAGAACGTGATTCAGTGCAGACGGCTCATTAAACCCAAGACAATCAAAGCAACACCCCAGGAGTCACAGTTCTGCAAGGAACTAAAGGTAACATTATCACAACCTTAGTGTGAGATGGAGGTAAAAGACGAGTATCTGCTTAGTTTGTGCTGAGTCTTGCCCTGACAAGGGGGTCAGGAGAATTTGAGCAAAAGTGGCCTTTGATTCTGCTCTGATATTGTCTCATACTATAAACAGCAGCATGGGAAGGGCTTCCCAGAGTTTCTGGATCTCCTGCTTCTGGTTCACAGGCAAATGGGCTGGAGTGGATGAGGAACAGGTAGCCCCAGGGTTGCACAGGATAAGCACTTCAGAATAACAGGTATTTTAGGAGAATACCTTTAAGAGCATTGAGTCCAGCTCTAAACCTAACATTGCCAAGTCCACCACCAAACCATGTTTGATGACATGGTGACTCAACCACTTCTTGGGCAGCCTGTTCTAATGCTTCAAGCCTTTCCCTGAAGAAATTTATCCTAATATCCAATATTAACCTTTCCTGACTCAACCTGAGAGCTTTTCCTCTCATCCTATCACTTGTTACTTGGGACACCACCCAAGAAACATCATCCAAGGGCACACCTAAATTGTGAATATAGGTTGATCTAAGATGATTCTGCCCATGCTAGTGGCAGAACAAGATGGGTTGGAGGACACAATGGAGAGGCAGCTGAGCAGGCTCTAGTGAGCCCAGTTCAGGGCAGGAGTCAGCAGAGCCAAACACAAGGCTTATTAACTCAGGTACAAAGAAGTTCATCGAGTCTCAAGAGCACTGTTGTGCTAGTTGTGAACAGGGCTACTTCCAATGAAGGCTTTCCCTACTCTGTGGCCTGGACATGTTCATCTTTGCTGTCCTCCATGTCTTCATGCTGTTCTTCACTGGGAAGTGTCAGCATCTGCACCATCCATGCGTTTTCTTCCCCCTTTGAACAGCTCAGCAGTGCTCCTTCAAGAATATTGTCAGAAGTACATACAGGACAAAGGGACCGTGATTAAATTTTTTTATTTTTTTTTTTTCAGGAGTTCAGTTTCTAAGGCCCTGTTCCTGCCTCCTTAGGAACTTGCGGCCAGGGGTGTTTGCTTCACATACAAAAAGGCTAGACTGCCAAACGCGGGTGCAAATTCAGACCTTAAAAAGCTCATCTAGTTCTGTCAATTTTAACAGATTTAGGTGGCATCCTTGGATGATACAGTACAAAATTCTCAAACATTGATTTTCTTTTGGTCTTTCACTTAATATTTGCTGGGAAACATGTGCACTTGATGTGTGCTTCTCTTTTGTGAAATGTGACATTTTCGTGACATTAAAATTCTGACTTGAATGATCTTGTTTTCACTGCTGTTCAATTCCTGCTTTAATATTATGTTCCTATACCAAATTAAGAAGTTTTATTTTATTACAGGATTTAATTCAGAAATATGAAGGGGATCTATCCCAGCTGTCAAAAAGATGTGATGAAATGAAGAAGCTTTATAGCAACATACTGGTACATATCCTATTAAAATGCAATGAAACTAAATACATTTCTTTAAAGAGAAAAAAAAAAAGGAAGGAAGAATTGCAAGAAGTTCCCATGGATCCATGTGCTTTATAGTTACACTGTCCACAGAAACTGGGAGGAAAAAAAATCAGGTTTAACAATGCTGGAATGTTTTGAATGAAGATCTGGCTTTTATTTTTCTTGAGATGTTACAGCCCACTTTTTAAAAGGTCTGTGGTCCAAATATCAAAAAAAAAAAAGGCAGATGTTCAGCAACTTTAGAAATTCAGTGACTTTAACTGTTACAGAAAATCACATATTTTCTGGTTCCTTCATGTCTTTGGCTGGTAAGCAGCTGCAAAATCTTCTGTTACTTGGGCTGAGGTTTTTTGGTTTTTTTTCTAGTGACAAGCTTATAGTCCAGGGCATTGATTTAGCTGCTGCTATTTTGAGTGAGAGGGAGACTTAAGATAGAGATGTTAGTAGTAGCACAGATCTACAAACGAGCTGAGCAGAAAGGAGGCTCCATGGGCAGAAGATTTCTGATAAAGGAACAGTCTGTTCTTGTTTGTTCTTATGATATTCAGCCATGCCTGCACCAGAGAAGCACCTAACTTTCCCAATCATTTGTTCCTCTGAACAGGAGCAACCCATCCATGTCCAATACACTAGAAAATGTTATCTGGGTCCACAGGTCACACCAGAAGGAACAATAAAACTCCAAGCTGCTATTCTTATAATTGCATGTAGATTCCTGGTTAAGTACTATGTTCTTGGAGTGTGGTAGGAATTCAGATGGTCTCTGCTATGGTAACAGCATTCCCTGGCAGAATAGGATGTTTTAAGGAAAGAGACACATTCACTGAAATGCAGCATTCATCTTCAACTGGAACAACTTCCTGGTCCTGGGGTTACGAGACAGGTTTAAGTGGTGAGGTTGGTTATTTCTGAGTTTTCTTTTCCTTTTTAATAGAGGGGAACTAGATAAGTTTTGTGATGGGCACAGAAGATGCAGCCAGGAAGACCTTTGGGGACCTGTCTGAACAGACATTGAATATAAGCAAGATGTTTGACTAAGGATAGTTAAATAGTAATATTTTACTAAAAGTACAGTTCTCAGAAGGTGTAAGGGTTTCTTTCTGTCTCTTGCAGTCTTTCATAGCTGGGAAAAATGTTTTGGTGTTGGGTAGCAAGCCAATTTTGTATGGTAGCAGAGGAACTGGACAAAGAACTCAGTCCCAAACCTACAAAAAAAGTTGAAGGACTGGGATAAAGCAAGAATAATAATAATAATTAAAAAGAAAAAAGGTGGAAAAATAGTATTAAGGAGAGATTTAACAGTTGGGTTACATGAGTGGAAGTGATTGAAAAGTATTTATGAAATTCCATATGTGGGGAGGTTTTTGCTAGAAGACCATTGGGGGACACTTCTTGCAGGGGGTGTGGAAGAATTTGACCCATTTTGTCTGAAAGTGACCTTCAGGAGTGAGTGTTGTGTGGCCAGTCATTTCAGGATTTCATTTGCTGTGTAGCTGGAGGTTTCCTCAAGTTTTAATCCAGCTGCTTTTTGTGCCCACCCTGTATTCTCTAAAGTTAGGCAACTGATATATTTCTCTCACTTAGAGTGGATGTTTCTCTTCTGAATAATGTTATTGCTAGGCATTTTTTTTTTTTTTTAATATTTATAAAGCAGCAAAAATGTAAAGCAAATATAAAATAGGATGGGTGATCAAAAGACCAGGCTATCATCTCAACCAGGCTGTCAGCAGTAGGAAGGAGCAGTCCAGCTTACCTGGGGGAATATCTGATCTGGAAAATTATTGTAGGTAGCCATGGAAATCATGTTGCACATGAAACAAAAATCCACAGGCCTACCTTGATGATTTTATATTCTGCTTATGAAACCAATACTGACCTTGGCATGAGACAGTTCTATGGCATGGACAATAAATTGGGGATAGCTGCCTATGGTATAGCTGTGGGGTATCAACTCCTCACAGATGGTCATTAGCTCCAGGAAACTCCCTCTCATTGCTGTGTAACTGATGGTGCACCATGGGTGAGTGGCCAGGTGTGCCAAAGATCAAGGGCTTGGCTTACCCAGGAGGTGCAATTAGGAACAGGCAAAACTGTTAATCAGGTGACACTGGTTGATATTCAAGTTTTTGTGAGTGCATCATACCATGCCCACTGTGGCATATAAACCATTTCCCTAATGGATGCATTTTCTTTTATGGATGGGTTCAGCTCACAAACTGCAGAGCCAGGAAGGTTCCTGATTTAGTGATTTTTTTTCTCCTCTTCAGCTGGAGATCTATAGTCCAGCCAGAGAGAAGAGGTTATACAGAAACCCAGGTTACTGAGGTAATGCAGTGACAACTCCTGGGGCCACTTTTGCTTGGATGTTTTAAATCTCAACTTGCTGGAGATTTTAGCTGGCTCTAAGTTTTCTAAATATGTTTATTAACAAAGGTATTTAACTTTTCATTGCTCTTTTGATTTCACTAAAATCCTGGATCAGATTACTGGGATATGCTAATGTTCCATATTCTTCCCTTTCAAATTTACAGGTAAAATTTGGGGAGCCACAAGACCTAGACTCTCAGGAATTGTTTGGATGGATCTCTTCATTCATTAGTGAGTTCAGGAAGGCCTGTGCTGAAGTCTTGCCATAAGGACAACACAAATCTTAGAGAGGTGAGGGAAAAAGAAGTGCAGGAAACAATGTTTAAGTTAATTGGTTTGGAAGTTTCTCTGCTAATAAGTAGCACATAGTGTATAGTCTGTGCAGCAATATACCTTGATTTTAAGGGCTATTCAATTTATAACGTGTAATTGTTAAGTGGTATTTGACCTTGTAGGATCACAGATCACTTATGAACCTCTCCCTCATTTTTACTGATGTATGTGCTTTTGTACTGTATATTTAGAAACACTTTTGACATTTTATACTTTCTCTTTTTGATCTTTTCCTTTGATACCCAGTCTTTTGACTGAGTTGTAACTATTACTTTTAATTAATAAGTTTCTGTATGGTGAACTGATTTTTAGTTGTTTTTGCTGTAGTTTTCCAAACAATACTTTACAAGTTTTATAATGAAATGGGAAACCGTTACCCACAGATGAGAATATTTAGCAAAAAATCTTGCCTTTCTGCTATTAAAGCATTGCAGCCTTAGTGTGTAATGGTGAAAGTGTCTGGTTGGATGGCTTGGCTTTTGTCCCTCAAAGCAGTACAATAAAATAGAGCTTTTTATGGCTAACGTGGTGTGTTCAGGTAAAATACTATGTATGTGAGACTTGCACTGGGGGGAAGAGAAAATATCAGAGAAGCAAAACAAAAATGTATCATGAGGCATCTAAGTAACAACTGGTTGACGCCAAAGTCGATGGCATCTCTGTGTGTAGCAGCAGCTACAGTCCACATCACTCACTTCTGATGGAAACAGGAAAATTATATTCCTTTGTAATTTCTTGCACCTCTATAGCACAGTGCCCTACACTGTGCAGGTACGTGCTCTTAAACAACACTTGCAGTTTTTGATGTGTCTTTACTGCTCCAAAACCTGAACCATCTTCATTGATATGTGAATCATGTAAGATAATCCTGAATGTAAGTGCCATTTCCATGGTATCAAGATCCCTGCATCCCTGAACAGCATTCGTGATGGTCATGATAAGTTTAGTGTTTTTCTACCATTACCTTGATTCAGGAGTTCTGGGAAGTCTCTTCTAACTAAATAGTTTTTTCTCCTCCCCCTCCCTTCTTCCCTGTGACTCACTCTTCTCTTAGTCTTTTTTATCTATTATTATATCTAACAGCTTGTACTTGTTTTATAGCTCAGCTGGCATGGCCTCCTCCAATTAAAAGATATATTCTACACAGTAGTCGATACCTGTGTCTTTGTGTGAATATCCTGGAGCATTAATTTAAAGAATTAATGTCCAAATACCTTCTTGGCAAGAAGTTCAAGCCCCTTCAGAGAACACAAAGGTTTCCTATGGAGTGGGAGCTTACTGAGGAGATATGTTTCAATTTTCTCAAACAAGCTATTTCTTCAGTGCCTGTGTGTTTCAGAGACTTCCTGATTAATATATAAAAAATAAACAGATAGACCTTGTTTCCTCTCTCATTCTTTTTCCCAAGTGTTATTTTGAATAAAATTGTGTTTTTCAAGTCTCTGAATCAACTGCATTACTAAGTTTTAGTGGTATAAAGAATAGTTGTTATGCCTCAATGTTTCTTCGGAATGATACAGACCAGCTCTGAGTCGCTGTGTGGACAATATCTGTGGAATCTTTCCTTAGCAGCTGACAGTTTTGTCCTGCAAACCTGTAGTCAGAAAAGTCAAAGCATTAGGTGAACCTTCTGTTTGTGGAAACCAACACAACCGGGAGCGCTCTGAGAAGGAGCAACCTGCGAGAACTGTAGGATTTTTACTTCTGGGTTGTAGGTTTCCCAACAAAAAACACAAAGCTGAGATGTGGCTCCTTATGCTGACATTCTGTAAGTATGTCTGCTATGGTGATGCCATTTGCTCATTAGCAACTAAACTGAGCTAAAAAAAGAAAATAAATCCAAAGGTTATTGTCCATAAAGATCAAGCACTGATGAACATATTTATGCTAAAACTCTTCTTGTAGCTCCTAGACATTTTCATGAACAAGCTTTACAGGATTTGGCCTGAACTGATGTAATTATAAATAGAAAGTTGCTCAACTCAATTCGAAATAGGAACTTTTCTCAGCCAGTAAATAATTGCCAGATAATATCCCAAGTTGCTGTCATTAATGCTGAAATGGAAGTTTGCTATTTGGAATCCCTCTGTTTAAGACAACCTGATGTCTTGCTTTGTTGTCAGGAATTAAGATGATGAGGAAAATGCAAAGCAAGTCAAATCCTTTTGATTCTGGATTAACTGACCTTGCCCTGTAGAAGGCCAGGCTGGCAGTGCTGCTCTGCTCTGCAGGCTGAGGTGCAGCTCTGGCTGCAGCACCTGGAGCCCAGTGGAGCTCCTGACTCTACCTCCCTCCAGTGCCTCAGGTAGGGGCACTGATTGCAGCAGGGCTGGGTGGATGTGCTGTGCACAGTTCCAGGGACTGAGATTTGGAAAACACTTGTGATCCATTTCAATCTCTCCCACCTCTTGCAGCAGTGCAGAAATAGTCAAGTGTAAGTGAGCTGTGCATAGAATATGACTGATGATCTTGGGACAGTCAGTTGGAAGGAGGAAACTAGTGCCACACAGGTTAGGCTACACATACTTTATCTCTAGATGTGTTGGTAACTTATAGCTGAAAATTATTAAACCAACTAATGAAGACAGAGATAAATTGAAACAAAACCAAACCAAGCCACCTTTCTTTTAAAATTGCCTATTAAGCTTTGTTTCCAGAGCACTTTAGGTAATAGTACAAAAACAAGAGGAAGTGAAATCTGCTCCTGAATTCTCAAGCAAACCAAGAGACACGGATACAGTAAAAGACTCACTATTCAAGCTGCCTGAGTAAGTGGGTAAGTCCTGTTTCCTTTCTCTGATTGAAAGATTTTTAAACTAATTTTCTAACCTTCTAATAATTGTCAACTGCAAATATTAGAACTGAATAGACACTTGATGTTCAGTATTTTGCAGATTTAAGTCCATGCAAGCATCTTGGCTGCTGTGGAAAAGTCAGAAGACCTGTTGGGGGAGCAGAGAATATTTGTTGGAAGCCATTGTCTGGGGAGAAGTAAAAAAAAAAAGCCATGGCCTGTTTCTGCTGCAGGTGCCAGGGTGTTTCTAGAGATTTGGAGGGCTGTGCCCAGCTTCAGAGATTTGGTCTCACAATATTTATTCTAAACTAAAAGGAGAGAAAAGCTACTTGAAGTCCCATACTGTGACTTGCGTATGTTTTCCACTGGTGTGGGAATGGAGCAAGACCACCTGATATGACCGATGCTGCACAGAGGCTGGAACCTGGTCTGGGTAGCAAACAGATGCAGTGAAAGTTGGTAAGTTAAAAAAATTAAGCCTATGATATATAAACCCCCCAGTCTTTTTCTTCCATTAAACCTGGCACGTCTCAGTAGATGGCACTAAAAATCCTAATGGGAAGCCATTCCCTGTGGCTTCCTCCCTGAACATCATCACAAGTCTTCCAGTTAATCCACTCCCTTTAAATATCAAACAAGCAATACAATCAATGGGCAGTCCCTTAATTCACTATCTTAGACACTTTAGAAAATGCAAATTATTCCCTCAGCAACACTATTTTTAGTTTTTCACTGGCCCTTGCTATGAAAACCACTCAGTGAGAAATTTATCTGGGACAAATTCTCCAGGGGGAGGTGATCTGGGTACTGCGATTGATGTCAAAGGAGATGCACTAAATTACACCACTGCAGGATCTAATTTTTCTGTGGTTTCCTTGACACCAAATTAGCCACCTATATCCACAAAACGTATTCAACAGTTGAAGCTAAATTGCCTGCCAGCAGATTGCTGCAGCTTTTGCAAACTCTACCTTGAGTTCCCTGCAACCACCTTGCTCAGTGGAACAGACTCTGAAGCTCAGAGCAAGTGAAAAAAACACATGTTCCTGCCCCTTCCCACCTGACAAAAGGGAAAGATTTTCCTGCTAGGCTATTTTTCTGGTTTTCTGAGTGTATCTTCTGACTTTATTCCATTTGGACAAAAGTCACACTTCTTAGATTTTCCAGTGGTGTTTTAATGTGTCAAGACCGTTGTGTTGTTCAGTGCAGGGCTTAGCAAAATTATTTCTTTCATAAAATTGCATAAATAGATCAGGTAGATTAGTTGAAAACATAAATTTGTGGGTAGTCCAGGCAAAGTTAATGGTGAAATTTACTGGCCCCTGCTGATGTTGCAAACAGTTGACTCCAACTTTGAATCTATGAAGGAGTAAAAAGAAGGTCAGATTTTGCTCTCAGTTTTCCACTGATGTAAATCCAGATTGAATCTATTGGACTCAGTGTAACTGTGGAGTATTTCCAGCCACCCATCAAAGAGTAGCTGCAGAAACATGCTGCTGGAAGGAACCACAGACTCTGGCCACGAGCATTTCAAACCCTGATTTGCACTTTGTGCTTGGGCCTGAAGTGTGCTCAGGTTTGCAGTATTGGCCAAGCAGAAGGTTGGCTGCATAAGAAATGCTGAATAAAGACCCCAAATTCCAACACTGTCAGCATAGCTGGAGTGTTTTACCTTTGCACACATGCAGACATCCTGCTGATTTCATTTTTTTTAATCACCTCTAAAATTCACAGGGAATTTTAAAATTCTGTTTTCCATTATAGCCATCAGAACACAAATTTACTCTCACAGAATGCCAAGGAAATTAAAGAGGCCTGAGAAGTGGAAGCAGACAGTTGTTTTTAATGGCTTTATCTCTCCTACTGCTGCAGAAATTAAAAAAAACCCACAATATCAACTTGAAGATGGAGTGGAATGAAGAGAAGTACATTAAAAATAGATAAACATACAGAAAAACCTTCAAGCCAAGCAAGGTGCCAGAGATGAAGCACACACAAATATCTATGAAATAGATCAAAACAAAGCCAGGAAAATGTACTCTCAATTCTGCATCTGTCTAAAACTTTTGTTCATTTTAGTAGTTTCAGCCATATACAAATATATGAATGAAGTTTTTC